CTAAAAGAAATCTACGCGAAGGTTTTGGAAACTAGATGTTACAGAATAGTTTATTAAGATTTATGATGAGAAGTATGGCTCTATTTCAGGCTGAAGTACCGCTGACCTGATCTTTACCCGATTGGATAAGAGTTCGTTCATCCGGTTTGCGTCTGCTTTCTTGATCTGGTGAAGACCTATGACCCGATCCGGCGGTCATGTCTGCAAAAGCATGGTATCGATGGCCAGTTGCTATTAATCATCAAGTCACAATCTGCCTTAGAGCAGACGGTGTTAATCGGCACAGTTCATTTTTAGCAGTGGTCTCCGCCTGGGGTACATCCTGCTCCCTCTCCTGTTTATGTTGTACATGGATAGAATAGTCAGGCGTAGCCAGGGCGATGAGAATATCAGCGTAGGAGATGTCAAAGAAGATGGTTGCTGCTTGTGGATGACCTTGTTTTGTTGGCATCTTCTGAAATTGATCTCCAGCGCTCTCTGGAAAGGTTCGCGTCTGAGTGTGATGTGGCAAGCATGCGTGTGAACATATGTAGAACCAAATGCCTAGTACTTTCTTGTTCTCCTGCCTACTCTGCTCCGCACATGAACAGAGAAGCAATAAAGCAGGTGGATAAGTTTGCGTCATTCGCAGTTGTTTTCACAGGTGATGAAAAATGGAAGGAACAATCGATCTGCACACTGGAATGGACAACTGCGTTTTGTGTGAACTAGCACGAAAGTTAGTCATTAAGACAGAGTTGAACCTGAAGGCTAACCTGTCTGTATTCTAGAGGATCTTTATCTTGATGCTCACCGACGGCCATGAGTCATGACTGAAAACATTGATCCTTGGTATAAGCGAGCGAGATGGGCTTTCTCAGAGGGATCGCACGGCTCACGCATTTCGACATGAACTGGAGTACAAATATCTCAGCGACCCTTATTGTAAGCCGCTACTTCTCCAGATGGAGAAGTCACGGCTTTGATGGATTTTAGCACGTCTTGCGAATCATTCCAGAAAGAAAGGCAAAACATCTACTGCTTTCCCAAAGGACGGCTCCGAGACGACCAGGAGTAACTTGGGGCAAGTGTCGATAGTTTTTGTTCCAGACTCGGGTTATCTTTTGCTATCGAAGTTCAAGCACTGGGATAACATAAGAAACTTTGGGTGCACTGTCTGTCGCGTTTGCCACAACGACACATCGAATCTGGAAACTGTATGCAAGAACTGTCCGCTGTCAGAGCCGAAAGAAACCTGTCTAAGTGGTTCCCTATTAACTGCGGAGTTCATCGATAGAGGTTTATTGTCTTTGCTGTTCAAAACTGTTCTCCATTTTCTTCTCAGCAGCAGCGGTGACTAGAACAAATACGAAGGTCTTCTATGACGAATGCGCGGTTCAACGATTCCAGCCAGCCATCTTGCTCGCCTATAGTATACAGATAACTTTTGTGCCGGTGAGTAGCATAGGGAGCGAGCTCTCTCGCCTGACGGCTTACCTATGGAACACAGCTGCGAAGGCTCGCTTCCTCCACGACGCCCAAAAGTCAGATGTTGTGAAGAACCCACCCTGCTCAATAAATCTGTAAGTAGATGAAGGAGGTGAAACGGTAAAGGAGAAAGTTGACCAATTTAACTATCTCGACTCCATTATTTCCTTCGACGGCGCTGTTAGTTTGAGTTAAACAGGGTGTGGTCCACTTCTCCAGGGCTTTTAGTAACCTATTAAGTATTTACCTTGAGAAAAGAGAAACGGTTTCCACAAAAATCTGTCTGTACCTTATCTCGGCCAGATCGATATTGTTGTCCGGCATGGAGATATTTATTCTGAAAGTACCAAGTATGGTGGTTGAGCCTCATCATCAGCGTTGGCTTCCACGGATAATGAGTGTTAAATATCAGGACTATACGAGGATTTACTGTTCTCTTCTGGACACAGGTGACCTAAGCGAATATGGAATTTAAGAGGAAAAAGAAGCTGAGCCTGTTAAGCAAACTTCTTCTCTTCTACTTCATCTTCCATCGCCGCTTCTCCTTTCGGGTCACGAAGGCAGATGCGTCAGACGGAACTTCCAACGTTCCCTGTCCTGTGCCAGAGTCTCAGCTTCGGCAAAAGACAACTGAAGTCTGAAACAGACGCCCTCTATATATTTGCACCAAGTTAATCCTGGCCGTCCGCTGGGCCTTCTGCCGGTCGGATTTGCAAGAAACAGTTGCTTAGCCTTCTTTTCTCAGG